CACTGTCAGGAGGCACAAATAAATTAATCCATTCTCTAAAACGAAGTTTGTGTCTCCCCATGACAGTCTGTGATACCTGCTTTGCCCTAGCAGTGGAAACAACAATCTGGTAATATAGTCAAGCTGCTCCTGTCAGATGTATAGTTCCTGAATGAGCATTATAATGAACGCTGCTCAGGTTCATCTGTTCAGTAAGTTGGAGCCTACTACATGCCAGGCACTATGACAATAAGTAAGAGAGCAAGTCAGCCCTCACTGAACTTGCAATAAATAAGTAATTTAAATTATACTTAAGTACTGAAAAGAAGTATGGGTGCTAAGAGTTTACTATAGGCTGGGTGCCGTGGCTCATACCTGTAATCCCAGCACCTTGGGAGGCCGAGGCGGGTGGATCACCTAGGTCAGAAGATCAAGACCAGCCTGGCCAACATAGTGAAACCTTGTCTCTACTAAAAATGCAAAAATTAGCCGGGTGTGTTAGCGGGCACCTGTAATTCCAGCTACTTGGGAGGCCGAGGCAGGAGAACTGCTTGAACCTGGGAGGCAGAGGTTGTGGTGAGCTGCAATTGTGCCATTGCACTCCAGCCTGGGCAACAGAGAGAGACTCCATCTCAAAAAAAAAAAAAAAGTTTACTATAGCAAAGGAACCTGAAACAGTCTAGAATAGATCTCTACCTGCAAATCAGGATTCACCTGGGACAGCCACTAACCACACCAATGCCCAAATCCCAAATCAAACAAATCAGAACTCTGTGAACCCTGGGCATTAACTAATTTTTTTTTCTTTTTTCTGAGACGGAGTTTCGCTTTTGTAGCCCAGGCCAGAGTGTAATGGCACGATCTCGGCTCACTGCAACCTCCGCCTCCCAGGTTCAGGCAATTCTCCTGCCTCAGCCTCCTGCGTAGCTGGGACTACAGGCGCCCGCCACCACGCCCAGCTAACTTTTGTACTTCTAGTAGAGACGGGGTTTCACCATGTTGGCCAGGCTCGTCTCAAACTCCTGACCTCGTGATTCGCCCGCCTCGACCTCCCAAAGTATTGGGGTCACAGGTGTGAGCCACCGCGACCAGCTACACCTTTTTTTTTTTTTTTTTTGAGCTGGAGTTCACTCTGTCGCCAAGGCTCGGAGTGCAGTGGCGCGATCTCGGCTCAGTGCAACCTCCGCCTCTCAGGTTCTGAAGCGACTCTCCTGCCTCTGCCTCCCGAATAGCTGGGACTACAGGTACCCGTGGCTAATTTTTTATATTTTTAGTAGAGATGGGATTTCACCATGTTAGCCAGGCTGGTCTCGATCTCCTGACCTCGTGATCCGCCCGCCTTGGCCTCCCAAAGTGCTGGGATTACAGGCATGAACCACCATGCCCGGCCCTTTTTTTTTTTTTTTTTAAGGTAAACTAACAATGGCCTTTAGTCAATGAAATCATCATAGAAGTTATTTAAGCTGTGTCTTGAAGCTTGATTAGGTAGTAGTTTTCTGAAGGAGCAATCTTTAAGATATAGTCTGAAAGATGAACAGGAAGAGTTGAAGGGAAAAGTATGAGGCAAAGGGAAGGGTGTGTGCAAAGGTCTGAAAGCAAAAAATGGCATGTGATGCCTTAGAGACACTGAAAGAAAGCCAAGAGCAGGCCAGGCGCGGTGGCTCAAGCCTGTAATCCCAGCACTTTGGGAGGCCGAGACAGGCGGATCACGAGGTCAGGAGATCGAGACCATCCTGGCTAACACGGTGAAACCCCGTCTCTACTAAAAAATACAAAAAACTAGCCGGGCGAGGTGGCAGGCGCCTGTAGTCCCAGCTACTCGGGAGGCTGAGGCCGGAGAATGGCGTGAACCCGGGAGGCGGAGCTTGCAGTGAGCTGAGATCCGGCCACTGCACTCCAGCCTGGGCAACAGAGCGAGACTCCGTCTCAAAAAGAAAAAAAAAGAAAGAAAGCCAAGAGCAAGGCAGAGAAAAAAGAATAAAGTAGAGGTTCTCAAAGTACCACCCCTGGTCTAGCACCAACAGAATCACAGAGGAACTTGTCAGAAATGTACATTTTCAGGCCCCACTCCAGACCTACTGAATGAGAAAGACACAGGGGACGGGAGCTGAGAGGGAACAGCAACCTGTGTTTCTGATGTCTAACATTAAAGATTCTGGATTTTAGGCTGGGCAAGGTGGCTCACACCTGTAATCCCAGCACCTTGGGAGGCTAAGGCAGGTGGATAGCCTAAGATCAGAAGTTTGAGACCAGCCTGGCCAACCTGGTGAAACCCTGTCTCTACTAAAAAGACAAAAATTAGGTGGGCGTGGAAGGGGGCACCTGTTATCTCAGCTACTCGGGAGGCTGAGGTAGGAGAATCCCTTCAACCCAGGAGGTGGAGGTTGCAGTGAATCAAGATCGTGCCATTGCACTCCAGCCTAGGCGACAGAGTGAGACTCCATATCAAATTAATTAATTAATTAATTAGCTGGGTGTGGTGGCGAGCACCTGTAAACCCAGCTACTCCGGAGACTGAGGCAGGAGAATCACTTGAACCCAGGAGGCGGAGGTTGCAGTGAGCCAAGATCGTGCCACTGCACTCCAGCCTGGACAACAGAATGAAACTCTCAAAAAAAAAAAAAAAAATCTGGATTTTATTCTAAGATTAATGAAAAAATAATTGAGAGGTTTAAATATACGGATAACATGATCAGGATAATAGCACCTAAATGGCTTGGCATCAATAGCTGAGCATAGACTCCTCAAAATTTAATTTTTGTAATATTCAAGGGTCACAATCATGCCTTTAGGGCCAGGGAGGTAACGTGAATGAGTAAGGAGGGCAATGTGAAATCTGAGGCGCTGCTCTCCAGCCAGCCTGCAATCTGCTCTGGTGCCAACAGATATCTCACAAACATTTGTTTAGTGAAGGGATGCACTGGCAAACCTAGGGATCCTTTAACAAACTGGTTAAGAAAGGAGAGGGCTCTTGTAGGGAATCCAACTTCTCATTTCTTCAGATGGGGCTGCTTCCTAGCCTGCGTAGGCAAATCTGGCATTAAACCAAAATTTCAAAGAATAACCACTTTTTGATGTCTGTCCAAGTAGCAAAGGGATAAAAAGCAATTCAAAAAACAAGATGCCAATAACCCAGCCAGCTTACCTCCCACATGGAGCTTCTACCACTGAGCAAATGACCCATTTGGACGAATCTTTAGAAAAAGTCAGAACTTGGGAATGTTCCTTGTGATAGGCTTCCCAGGAACAACCATCCCCTGGGCCTAAAAGGCTGCCAAAACCTTCACCTTCACTTCAGTGGGTCAGATAAGAAGTTCTTAAGATTCCCAATCCTTACTAGACATGTAGCATCTCTGGATACAAGGCTTCTCAGGACCAAAAAACAAAAAAAAAGAAAAAAAGCCAAATACAGATCTATCAAAAGGTCACCAGAAGCAAGCAAAAACTTTTCGGAACGAAGCAACTTACAGCACTGACAGAAATCCACCGATTTGGGTTCTTGACACAATAGCACCTCACCCAGATTTAGCCACAGACCACAGATGATGAGGGAGTGGTTACACATTCTGACTGAATCAGGTTAAAAAGCACATTCCAATGAAGTTCAGGATGCAGAAAAGGATTGCAACAGACACTAATGAGAAGGGAACAAAGAGTGATCGCTTTATTAAGGCACTTCCTTCCCCCAATTCCTCAGTTGAGAAAGTCAACAGTCTCAGACATCCTATCTGCATTCTGGCCTCAGAAGCCTGAACACCAGGTACTAAGGGATTCTGCAGACCTTGCCCTACTGAGGTGTCTCAGAGACCTTCAGGGGAATCCATGGGAGGCGCTTCATGATGAAGAGAGTTCCCGCCTTCTGCCTATTTCTTAGAGATCCTGAAACCATTTCTCTCAGGTCAGAATAAATGAAGACACAGGCTTTAAATCCAAGTAGAGTCAAAATTCCAACAGATTCTTATCTGGATATGTGGCTGAATTTTCATTTCCTGTCTGAAGCAGGATTTGTCATGGTGGGTTTGCTACCCACCATCTTACCAGATGACTAGATTTCAGAGTAGCCTATTTTATCTCTGTGCCCAGCAGATTAACTTTCAGAGGCTGAGTAACTTGCCCACAGAGCTAAGACTAACGGTAAAGGTTCCCACAACCACCTAGTTGGTGTTAACTGCCTTTCAGGTATAAAGTACAGTCCCAATGCCCTCTGAGGCGATGATTACAAAGGCTGACATTTATGGAGTGCCTACAATGTGCAGTGCTCGTGTGTGCTCTCTAGTAACCTATTTAATGTTCACCACCACCCCCATGAAACAGAGTTGGTGGCAGAATCTAGAGCCAGGAACTCTGTTGAGAAACAGTTTCAGACGTCCTATGTGCATTCTGGCCTCAGAAGCCTGAACAGCCAGGAACTCTGGCTCTAGAGCCCAAGCTCTTAATCACTAGACTATACTGCCTTTCTCAGGATATGGTCAGTCCATTCCATAAATAAGTACCTGATTCCATAATTAAGCATCTGGGCATCAAGTACTCTACCAAAAAAAAAAAAAAAAAAAAAAAAGAGTAGTCACACAAAATCACCACCAGAAAAACTGCTTTTGCTCCAGCAATGCTCAATGTGACAACGCATGCTGAATTGCCCCAGGATCCTACCTCGTAGCTAAACATTAAGCCAAAAGCCTAAAAATTAAGCCCTTAAGAGTAAAGTCAAGAAACTGATACTTTTCTCAACTTTGATGGAGAGCAGACAGTGCTTCTGATATCTCCATCTTCTCTGCCCCTCATGTGGGTCCATGTCTAAAAGCACAATATTTAAAAAAAACAAAAACAAACTAAACAGATCATAAACCTATTCCCTGGGCAGGGAGACAGAATAGACATCTACAAGTCAACCCTTAAGTTCCTTGAATTCAAGAAATAACTTATTCATTTAGATCAAAATTACCAAAACTTCCAACCAGAAACTAGTTTGCTTTGGTTTCCTCTCTGCCCCATTACCTTTCAGAAGGTGCAGAAATACTCACAGGCAAGCTGGAGGGTCTTGACTGAAGGCTCAGGTTCATATCTTCTTGCCCTCCCTTACTGGAGGTCATTGAGGGGGCTGAGGATGCCTGAGACCCAAATGAATCTTGAGATAGCTCCTACAACAAGAAAAACAAAAGCTGTGATGGCCTGGTATTGATAAACCAGGCAAGCTTACTTCATGGTGAAAGGGTTATAGGACTGTCTCTCATGAGTGTGAGAGAAAGCCCAGTTGCGAACAGTATTATCTGAAGGCCAGAAAAATCCAAGCCGTGACTTGCAAGAATGTCAACAGTGGACTCTTTCTGGCAGAACTGTCACCCATTCATTGCTACCTACAGAGGGCTATTTCTTGGGGTTAAATGCGAATGTATGGCCAACTTCAAGTTAAATCTATCAAGGAATGAGACCAATGAAACCACAAAAATCATGCTAGATCCTCTGCATTAAAATGAGTACTGCTTCCTTCAAAGACATCACCTTGGGATGAGATATTTATTCCAACAGTGCCACCAATACATAAACTTTTTAGGGGACCTGTCATCACTCAGTCATCTCTCTTCTTTGGGCTCTACAAAGAATAAAGCCCCAAATGCTATTTTAGGCTCTATTACCTGTATCTTGTTCACCAGACATAACTCCAAATGAATTTTTGCTATTTCCCCAAACAAAATCCACCCACAAAAAATAACATTTACCACCACTGAGAGTATTCTAAAGAATGTGGTATCAGCTCTGGTGGCAATTCCAAATGAAGGGATCCAAGTATTTTGAGTGATAGCAGAATGGAATGGCAGTTGGAGTGAATGTACAGTACCACCTCTCAAAGTGACTGTTTTGAAAAAAGACCAACTCACTTGGATGCTCAAGTTCTGATGTTGATTTACAAAAAAAAAAAAAAAAAATTCAGTCCCATTATCTTTAATTTTTTATCCATCTATACAACTTTCCATTGCCCTATTTCTTCATCATTAAGGAGAGCTATAGATCTTTATGTAGTTAAGTAGGTTATGCCTTTATTAGTTCAATCAATCCAGTTATCATGTTTACCCAGAGTTGAATTGGTCTTTAAGTGCACATTAGAGAACCATTCTGTACAGTAAAGTTCTCATGACACTAACCCCCAAGCTGTCTGTTGTCACACACAGGGAAGGGCAGGAGGTCAAGGATATCTTACCTGCGGTGGAGGGAAGCGCTGTTGGGAATAGGCAGTTTGCTGGGACTGCTGAGACTGGGGCTGAGGATACGCAGCCTGCTGGGAGAGCGTCGAGGGTGCTGGCTGCTGAGGTTGCTGCTGCTGGTAGGGAGACTGAGCCTGTGGCTGTGAGTAGGAGGGCTGGCTCTGAGGGTGCTGCTGTGTCGTGGACTGCTGGGAGGGGTATGGAGTCGGGGACTGCTGATGTGGAGGTTGGGATGGCTGTTGGGAGTATGGAGTCTGAGAGGACTGGAGCTGTGGTGGCTGAGACTGTGGCTGCTGCTGATACGAAGGTTGGGCATGAGGGGTCTGGGATGGTGGTTGCTGGGAGTAGGGTGGCTGCTGCTGCTGAGGGTGAGGACTTTGCTGGTTGTAATATGGAGTCTGGCCCTGTTGACCATACCCGCTGGGGCCTTGTTGTCCATAAGGAGGAATCTGTAGGAAACGAAAATATACTTTTAGCACTGACTCTCCTGAATGAGGAAAGATGAAGTGTTTTGTCAGAAGCTATGCACTGAGGATGAGTATAGAAAGCAAGCATGCAAGGCCTCATACTTAGGAGGCCCGGGGTTTTTCTCTCATCCCTGCCTAAACTGAGCCAGGAAGGACGGCCAAGCTGGGTTTTTAGGTGGTTTGTTTACAAGTGGACATTTATCCACTGAAAATTTACACTATTTACTATTGAGGCAACTAACACGAGTTGAAGAGCAGCTGTTTCTACCAATGAGCCTACTCTTTTTATCACGGCCTAGCCTGTTTTTATAAGTGTTAGGAATCTGTACCCTAACCACAATGAATAGTCAATAGCAGCCTGGCTCAGCCAACTGAAAACCTAGGGTTTAGTAATTCAGACAGTGTGCAAATCACTAAGCTACTTTGGTTCTTTCATTTAGTTTTCATTCAAAAAAAATGTTTGAGAGCCTACTCGATTACTTGTACCAGGCACTATTTTAGTCACTGGGTATGTATTTAGTAAGCAGGCAAAAGAATAAAATAAAATAAGTAAATAAATAAATTACCTCATCTTTCCTCTATTAAAAAAAAGAGACAATTTTCTATATTAAAGGCATACGTTGCTTTAAAGTGTTAGAAGTAAAATTTGTTTTATATTCTCTCCCTATTTTCAGTATCAGTATCAAATATAAGTGATAGAAAACTTTGTCAACACAAAAATGACAATAAAGAGATAATGATGTGAATGGTTCGACAAAAGGAGATGGATAAGGGGAAATCTTAACATTTGTAACAATGCTGTTAACATCTTTTCTGTTCAATCTTCCCCTTTTCTTCTACTCCCAGTAACATTCATTTTGAACCAGATGGCAGATATGGTAAAGGCATTCAGAAGCATAAAGGGCCTTTTCTGTCCCCAGGGCACATGATATGAATGGTTTTCTTAGTAGTAGCAGTGCCTAGGTGTTCAGCCACTGCCTTTCATCCCACCTCATTCAGAGATCACCACTCACTAGGTATAAGCTGGCCTGTCAGGTCAAGAGAAAAAGAGGTATGTACCTGTGACCAGAGAGTAGTTTTCCTTGGAACACACATGGGACGGTGCCTATAGCTTTGGCTTTGCTAGTAGCACTCTGTAATTAACTGAGCCAACAGGTCTACAGTCTTGTCAAGAGGCTTGGAAGCCAAGGATACATTCTGATTCTATAGCTCACAGATCAGATTTTGGACAGCAACAAGGGTCAAGGTAATCAGAATCACCATCTACCTGCTGTGTATAAGAGAGGCCGCCCATGGCACTCTGCGCCCGGCCCTGCATGGTCATCGGGTACCGCTGCGGGGTCTGGGACCCATATGGCTGCCCTGGGTACCCATGTCCTTGCTGTGGTCCTGACGGAGGTCCCTGTTGCTGCGAGTATGGGTTAGTCCCGCCATATGGCTGAGGTCTCATCTTGCCCATCTGATCCATTGGACTGGATGGCTACAAAATAAAAAGCATTTCATTAACCTGAGCTTTGATGGTCTCTGGCCACTGAATATACAACCCAAGTATACAGGTTTTTTCAGTCTGTATGCTACAAAGAAATCCAGTTACCTTGAAAGAGCAATGAGACTAACCTAGTAACCTTTAAGTCAACTGCCCTGCCTCAGAACCCTAATTTTGTCATTTGAAAAATGAAAATACCACCTATTTGTGAAAACATCTTATAAGCTAAAAACTACTTTGTAACTGTGGTACTGCTTGAGATCCAAGGGACAGGCCAGGTGTAAACAACAAAGGCCCTTCAGTTGGTAGAGGACGGTGCTGCTATGCACTGCCATCACCTTGTTAAACACCAAAATTGATGCTTCAATACTATGATGGGGAATTCATATACACAAACATCTAGATGTTTCTATTTTTCCAATAGTGAAAACTCCCCTTAAACACCTATAGCCTATCTGTACTACGGCACAGTTAAATTTATGCTTTCTTCCAAATAAGCAAAGAAGCTAAGTGACAGTTGAGGGAACGGTAACTCTGAATTAAGAGCCTTGTGCATCTCAACTGAAAAGCTCATTTCCTTTAATATTCAAGAGTTTGAAGATGTAAGGAGGACAGAACTTTTGTTTCTCTGAGAGACAAGAAGATTCAATGGTAGACTATCATGGATGTTGCTTTCTTTCCAGCTCTTTGTGGAGCAACAGGTTCAATCAGCTCATTCACTTTTTGATATGCCTTTATCCTACTGGCGCTCCAGAGCACACCTTCGACGGCCAGAAATATCTACCTATATCTATTGGTGGTGTGGGGGCAGGGGGAAGTTTCTCTAAGCATCTTTTAGATACACACAAGATGCAGAGTAGGCGTGAGTCTGATATAAAACTTAAAAACTGGCTCTTACATTGGGGGTAAAGTAGATACTGATAATCTAGGCCTATCGTTAACTGTCAAATGAAGGAGTTCAGTGGTTCATTGATTTTAGCATGCATCAGAATCACTTGAAAGGCTTGTTAAAACAGACCACTAGAACCCACCTCCAAGGACTGGTCTAGGTTATCCCTAGGGTTCCTTCCAGTTCTGTTATTCAAAATTAATAAGCTATTCTATAATTTAAGATATTAAGACCTTAAACAACAACAAAACCTCCAAAATAAAGGAAGGGGACATCCAAACAATTGGTTCTCTGTATTTATTTTTTAATAATGCTATTAAGTGTTTTATAGTAGAAGAAGTGAGCTTTCATGAAAGAAAACAGATAAGACAATAAGCCACAGAGGCTGTTCTTAATATGAAAAGGAAAAAAGAGAAGCAGAGTTATTTCTTAGGCTATATCTGAACTCTCAACTAACCTGGTGAGTGATGATGGGAATACTCCTCTCCCATGTTTCTGAACTGTATAAAATCATACTAAAACTGTGTCCCAAATCACTACTACATGTCAACATTATTAAAGTACTGTTTCCAACAACCCTACATGTCAATATTATTAAAGTACTGTTTCCCACAATCCTAACTAAACAATTTTTGCCCGTCTTTCATCCATATTAGAAGCTCCAATAACGTTCCCAATCATAATTTCAGAGCTACATAGATTTTAGAGTTACTTAGGAAGTTCAAATTTAACAACAATTAAGAAATAGCATATGGTCCTCCCCAATACACCTGGCAATGGAGCCAAAACATCACCATTCTCTCCTGTAAAGAGCTTGGGGGCTTACATGGCCATATCATGCCACAATATCACACTGAGGTCCTCATCTCATCCCAGACTGCAGCTGCTGTCCATGCGGCCTCCAACTGCAGAGACTATTTTGTTGAACAAAGAGATCAGCCTGCTCTGGGTATCTCTGTCAGTCTAGGTCTCCCCACAACATGAGGGGCAGTCATTACCATGGTTACTATAGAGCTTCTAGAGCAGTAGCTATTAACCAGGGATGCAGATTAGAATTTTCTGTGAAGCTTCATAAATGGCTAGGCCTCTCTCTAGAGATTCCAATTTACTGGGTCTGGAAGGGCTTGTGCTCTTCTCCAACCTCCTTAAAGATCTTTGAATGAGTCTGGTATATACTATTAGCTAAGAACCAGTGATCTAGAGAAGCACTGGCCAATAACATTTACTGTGATGGATAACTATTAAACACTTAAATTATCAAATATTACTCAGGAACTAAATTTTTATTTTTATTTACATTTAATTAATTTAAATTCACAAAACTACATGTGGCTAGTGGCTTATTATGTTAGAGCAGTTCTAGGACAATGCTATTCCCAAATCATTTCCGCTACTCCCTGGTCAATAATAGTTTCAAACTTCCTAACTACTAAATCCTGCACAGTATTATTACATACAGCATAGTGTAGTAATTTGATAGACTTGGGTTCAAATCCTATCTCTCTCACCATCCTACCTTGAACACATCAGTTCTTTAAATGCACATAACATACTTCACACAGTACCTGGTATTTAAACGTCCAATAAATGGTAGCGATTATCAGTAATGATAAAACAGTACTTCTACCTGGCTCTAAAGCCCTCTACAATGTGACCCGGTTTTCCACATTTTTTCAGTCTCACTCCAAGATTCCCCACATACTATCCACACCCAGCTCTATGCAATGGCATCCTGCCCTGCCCTCCTGTCCACAGTGGCTTCTAGTAACAGAAACTTGACCTTTCAAAATGAAGCCACTTCCCGTATCTTCAGCACACTTTGATCTCTCACATTTCTAAATGCCTTATTGTAAATCCAGTTAGCATCCTAAGATTTAACACTTAGTTGCAGCTACCTATTCCAACTAACTGATTGCATTTCTCAAGACTAGCTTCTGGGAAGCCAGAGATCAGGTGTTTTATCTTCAAAGCTCTCCCAAATACCAAAGTACAGAGCTTGGGCTCAGTGACTGTTCAATGTGCAATGCTGTCCTATTCCAAAAAGGGGTAGGAGACACTATGGGGACAAAGCCCAAATCAAACTATCTAGCCATAAAGCCAGGGTCATACCCTAAATCTAACTCTAACACAGGTTATGACTTTGAAGGTAGAAAAAGAGTTGGACTGAAGTGAAAGAGGAGAGAGAAGGAAAACAATACTCAAGGGAGAACAGGCACACTTTAAGAATAACCTGGTTGGGCGCAGTGTCTCACATCTGTAATCCTAGCACTTTGGGAGGCCAAGGCAGGTGGATCACTTGAGGCCAGGAGTTGGGAGACAAACCTGGCTAACACAGTGAAACCTTACCTCTACTAAAAATACAAAAATTAGCTGGGTGTGGCGGCGCATGCCTGTAGTCTCAGCTACTTGGGAGGCTGAGGTATGAGAATCACTTGAACCTGGGAGGCGGAGAACTTAAGCGAGCTGAGATCGCACCACTGCACTCCAGCCTGGGCAGCAGAGCAAGACTGTCTCAAAAACAAACAAACAAACAAAAAACCTCCAAGGCCAGGCATGGTGACTCAGGCCTGTATTCGCAGCACTGAGGTGGGTGAATCACTTGAGGTCAGGAGTTCCAGACCAGCCTGGCCAACATGGTGAAACCCTGTCTCTACTAAAATATAAAAATTAGCCGGGCGTGGTGGCACGCGCCTGTTAATCTCAGCTACTCAGTAGGCTGAGGCAGCTGAACCACCTAAACCTAGGAGGCAGAAGCTGCAGCGAGCGGAGATCATGCCACTGCACTCCAGCCTGGGCAACAGAGCGGGACTCTGTCTCAAAAAAAAAAAAAAAAGTTGATACCAGGGAGAATTTCAGAACTGCAGGGGCATCCTCATATGCACTGCTTAAAAACAAAAGGCTAAGGACAAGTCACATTTTCCTCTCTCACATGGGGGCCTGCACTCCCAAATGAGTACAGCTATTTACATGAGGGCTATAAAGGGTTCAAGGAATGTCCCACCTCAACTTTAGGAAATCTTTGTAGACCAAAAAATAAATGTACATCAAAGAAATTTTTATTCTAAAAATAAAATCAATATGCTTCCTTTTTCTGGTCATCAGATTTCTGACTCCCTCCCATCACAAAAGGCTTATGATCAACAGAATATGCAGCTTATTTGGCAAACTAAATACATATTCAGTTCAAATAATCAGGTTATTCTGGTCTTATGTAAAAGTTAGACATCTGCTTGAATCAGAAGGGGAGGTCGGCAGAGACCTAACTCACACTTATGACATTTAAAACCATCGTGAAAGATTTGTGATTTGCAGTTATAGATGAAATGCCATCTCCCAATCTCTAGTAACAGAGAAGGGGCCTTAAATCTTCACTGATCAGTTTTATTGGAAAGTAGCAATTTCACACCAGAAAAATCCCTAGATGCAAGATACAAAAGCCAGTATCAGCAGTCTGCAGGCACAAGGCAGGGGATGGAAACACCAAACCCTAGCTGCAAAAAGCCAGAGATTCCACTCTGGGAAAGACAGAGGAAATCCTTTCAATGGGAAACCACAGGAGTAGATTACTGTGATTACACTTCAAAAGCAAAGGCTCTGCCACAGAAACACATAATTGAGAGGAAAATGCTGCCCCTTGATCAGCAAAGTCAGGCCCCCTGCTATATACTCTCCTGAATTCATAAAAAATAACAATAAAAAAGGAGGAAAGAGCCATAAGAAAACTCCTCATCTCCATCCACCACTTATCTCCTTCCAGATCACTGGCCATGTTATAAACTGCCTGCCAAATGAAATGTATCAAAAGATGCAGTTTAGGGGCATCAAAGGCAAGGACGCCTAGCAGCTTGTCCTTCTGAATATATTCAGAACAAACAGCTAGCAGACAGACCCCTTACATAGGGAGTTCCCCTGCTCCAAGCCAACAGAATTACAAGACCCTCCAGACTAATGGGCTACTGGAACCTCTTGCATCAAGGAAAACCAAAATGACCCTCCAAAACTGCTGAAATTAACAGATTAGACTTTTAAGGTGGACCTAGGCTAAATGTCTTATAACCCAAAGTAACCACTTTGTGAAACTCACAGATTAAAATATGCTTCAAATTCTCCATCTGACCATGACCGAGGAGACAGCAGAGAAGACACAGCCAAGAACTCAAAACTTCTAAGCAGAGATATACCATTTACAAAAATGTACCACACCACGTGGCAATGGCACCAGGAAAGAGAAACTTCATAATTTTATTTAAATAAAAGTACAACTGAGGAAAGCTCCAGTTCCAATCCAAGGATATAGAAAGAAGTGACCAGGCAGCAACCCTAAGGAGCTAAATTTAGTACTCAACAGTGCCAAGGGCTAGCAAAAATAAGAACAGAGAGGGTTGGGCCAGGGGCTGCCAAAAAGGTGTCCATCAGAGAGAAGTCTTGACCACCACTCATTTTGTCATCCTAAATGCTAACTAGTTGGGGCCAGTGTAAACCTAGAGCTATAACCTTGACTTTTGGATATTTAAATATTATTACTCCTTGTGCTTTCAATTTATTCCTGGCTAGATTTGTTATATGACTTTTAATAATAACAATAAAAAAATGCATCCCTGGCTCTTTAACCAAAAGAACCCCCCTAATTGATTCCCACAGTAATTAACCTGCATTTTACCTCAGAGAGCGGTAGTTAAGGAAGTCGGCTCTGCTATTTATAACTCATCTCAAATTGAGGGCAGACTGCCTAAAATCTAACACATCCCAGCTGTACTCCTGTTTGAACTGGGGCCAAGGGAATTTTTTAAAGCAATCTTGGCACCGAATGAATGACACCAACAGTATGAGAGCGCGAGTGGTTGTGTTGTGGTGACGTAGCATTGGAGGTGGAATGGAGAGGGGGGCCAGTGTACTGTGATCCCTCTGGTGCATGCCTGCTGCTTGCTGAGTCCCAGTACAGTAAGCTGGGAACCGCCCACTGAGAGCCAAACACAGGAAAAGGCTTTTCCTGTGGAACGCCTTGAAGTGAGAAACACATGGCTAATCTGCATAAACTCGAAGCCACACCGCCCCTGCCAGGAAGGTTAGTGCTCGTAATCTCTGGCCATGAAGCTGGCTGCCTGGGAGGACTTGGACTGGCGCCTGATAACCCAGAAAGAGCCGAGAGAACAGATGGGTAAGGACCCCAGCAGAAAACAGCCCCAGGTCACATGACTCGCCACATGGCCCCGCCAGCACAAACTATTGTCTGGCTTCAGAGCTCCCTATACAAAGGCACCCCGTCCTCCGCTTCCTGTGATTCCGGGGACAGGCGGCAGCTGTTGATCCAGTTCCAGCATGGGACCCTCCCCTGTGATAGGGCATTCCAGGCAGGGACAAGTGTAAAAATTAAGACCTCTCCCAACCAACAGCTTTCAGCTTCCTGCCAGCTGCACGTGGCTCACTTAGATCTCAGGAGCAATATCTCAGGACAGACTAGGCTTCCACAAAAAAAAAAATAATAATAATAACACCCTATGTACCCTGGCACATAAAATGACCAGCATAAATCATTCTCATTGTCCCTTCTCTCCCCAGCCACAGACATCTATATCTAATGCCCCTTATCCTGTCTTTTCTCTATCACCTAGTACTTCAGGCCTTCTTTGAAGACTAGTCAAGAACTCCGAGCCCCCAACTGAGGAGAAATTGTCCAGAAACCTGTTTGTCTTAGTTTTACCCCTAAGACCCTGCCTCCTAAAATAAGGAGACTACCTTCACCTTGTTTTAAATAGTGGGGAAACATGACTGTTTATACGACCTAGGACAATAAGAGATTTCTAACCTCCTATATGGCCTCAACAGAGACAACACTAAAAATTTCCTGAAGCCAAGCTGATGATAGGAAAAGAAAAAAAATCTCATCAGATTATACCCACACCTGATGCAGGGAATCAAACCCACTCAGTCTAGGATTCTCTTCATTCATAACCTAGGAACCATACCTCAGTTTTCTACTTCACAATTCATTCTAGTTCATTCAAGTTCTAAACAAACTGACCATCTGCCTTTGGTGAGAGAGGAATCATCAACAACTAATTTGAACTACCACTCCCCAAAAAAGTTTTGTTTTTTAAAAATTCTTTCAAGCTTCCATAAATTTCCAAGTGGAATAAAAATTGGCCAAGCACA